GGGAAGCCTGAAGGGAAGAGACCGCTGGGGAGACCTAGACGTAGATGGGAGGATAATGTCAGAAGAGATCTGTGCGAGATAGGAGTTGAAGGAGACTGGATTTTGTTGGTCCAGGACAGGGACTGGTGGAGGGCTTTGGTTAATTCGGTGATGAACCTTCGGGTTCGGTAAGCCATCTAGTTAGTTAGTTATGATAAAAATGCCTAGCAAAAAGCAAACAAAAATAATTTGTCTTTTAGGTTATGAGAATAGCTTTGCATCAGTGCAGTTGCTGCCTTTATCATCAGGGCGATTCTCCTTTAGAAATTAACAGTAGTCTCAGACAGTCAAAACATTCCCCGGCTTTTATAGGACCCAAAGATCCATTACCATGTTTACAAAAGCCTGCCATCGGTCCCTGTCACGAGCCAGATGAATCCAATTTACACCATCAAACTTTATTTAACTAAGATCAATTTTAATATTATCCTTTCATAAGTCAAATAAGAAAGAAATTATTTTTTTTACATTTATAACAAGTTAAGTCAGTGACAAAGTTACAATTTTTTACTTTTTTGAATACAGGAACGTTTAAACAATTGATATATAGTGAAATGACTACAGCAAATGGGGTGACGAAGCACGGCCTGTCTCTTTTAAACTGTAGCCCCGTAGATTCTACACACGTCCTATATTTTAGAAGGGAGGAAGATATAAAAAGAAGTAGAATGTTCCGCTTTATATGAATCTTTCTTTTCCCTGACCCCTTTCTCCTTCGAATGGAAGAACAAGTGGTCCTCGCTATTAGACGTCGAGTCAAGACGGTACTATTCCGATATCTGCCCCTGCGGACAATAGTGGCGCATGTAGCTTCAGGCCACTTCATAGGTTCGCTTCCAAAAACCACTAGTTTAGTCGAGATCATACGAAAAGATATCGATGTTATTTTTCTGGGAAATTCGCCGTGTGGACGTTCAGGTAGATACCAGCGTTTCGGAGGAACATATTGCTTGTATCAGCCCTGAAGATGGCAGCGGTATGTGCCTTCGAAACATTTGTACCTTTCTACAAGTCCACGTGGCGTTAATCCCCAGAGTAACATAATCGACGGTGGTTTGTTTTTTACCGACGCATTTTAACTAAAAATGTTATAGTTTATGTCGAAAGGCGGATAATTTGCGAACGCTGGTTTTGGAAAGATGTGGAAGGAGGCGATTGTGATATATTTTAGTGTGTTTTTGTGCCATTTTCTTGTAAAAGTTTAGGTATATTACCGTCAGGATATATTCCCCTAGAGTTGAACACGTAAATGCTAAAATACTATCTTTAAAATTCGTTTAAATTATATGAACCATAAAATGTCATCGTTACTTCGTCTTTTCGCCACTGCAGTTTGTGGACTCCATATTGATGGTCATGTGAAGTCACAGCCTCCAGCCTTCATACCACTTAAAATCGTTGTTCTTTACAGATGATGAAACTCTAATTATGCATATTTCTCCATCTTCTGGGTGTTACTTCATTTCCCTTAGTAATTCCAATGTGCTTCTCAGAGACTTGTCCTTAGACATCCTCAGTCTAGATCTTACCTTAATTAAATAATCAAATGTAATCGGATACATTGTCCAATATTTAATTACATATATAATAGATCGAAAAATATTATAAACAAAATTTGTAGAACGACACTGTGTCAACTGTAGTGGTTATTTAACTTCGAATTATGTGAAAGGTAGAATTGATGAATTTGGATGTTACATAATAAGCAGTTGATACAGTTTTTTAAAATAACCGAGTAACCAACGAAAAAGGTTTGGATCAAGAACTAAATAAATTAGCCCACTTTTTGACACGTTCTGGCATCAGTCATCCAAAAAAAAAAAGTCAAAGACATATAACCGCAGAAACATACACAACGTAGAGATAGGAGCTTTCGTTATAACGTCAGTTAAAATTAAACTGTACTTGTGCCACTGTTGCAGGGAAGGTTTCCTCTTACCATTCGTCCCGCGGGCAAGTAAGGAGACGCACTAGCTGACTGTCCGATGTTATTACTTTTCTAGGCAACTTGACCAGTGATATAAGTCACATACATACCCAAGCGCATCATATAAAATGTCTGTGTCTTATATTGAGAGCAATGCTATGTTACAGGGTGGGGGGGGGGAGAGATGGAGGGGGAAAGTTCCATCCCTGCATGACTGACGTTATTTTCCATTACGTAAAGTAGTCCGAGACTCCTATATTACTCAAAAGAATGTATGTAGTAAGCGTTTTATTTAATATTGCTTGGTGCTGCTGGTATATGAGTATACACGCTCCTATAAAGTGGTATCATTTCTCTTCTTACGTGAAAATATAAAAATAATTAGGTAAATATTTATAAATTTAGCATTGTTATAGCTCCTGGAATCGTGATATAACAGTAAGGTAGTGAGAAGAGGTGTGTCTTCTGGGTTTTTGCGCTATATCGTTTTGTAGAAGTTCGCCGACGTTTCAGAGGCCCTCCTGATGATGGAGGCAGCAAGGACATCTGAAACGCCGGTAAACTTATACCAGACGACACGGCGCTACAACCTGGAAGATAGCTCTCATATTCGTTGCAGTGAGAACCTGAAATTTCACTTTTATTAAATTTTAAAGTTGCAAGGTGTAGAGCAGATATTATTATGCCTGTTACTTACAGACCAGGGTGCGGGGGACCATCAGACTCCGAGTGGCCGTACCGCGGTGTCGGTGCAAGGAGCGGGAACCACTGCCGCGTCGTCAGCTGTTGCCTCTGCAGCCAACACCGCATCGAGTGTCGGAGGTCCGCGAGAATGCGCTGGTTGCGGGAAGCGTATCACAGAACGCTATCTGCTCAAGGTGAGTGTCTGCGCTGGTTACAGGAAGTGTATCACAGAACACTGTCTGGTTAAAAAGTAGAAAAAATATCAAAAATATTGTACTGAACCTGAGTCTCTGGGACATCTTTTTGTATTATGATGCGATTCACATGTCTGTTGTAAATCCTGCATTCTTGTCAAGAAATAAATACACATGTTTTCAGATAACTAAATACCGTACAAACGCTTTTTTTTAGCTTCACAGAGTAATTAAATGCTTGCAACCATTCAGTGCCATCTGTCTAAAAATCAAAGACAAACATGTACAGAACTGTGGTTTTGTATGGGTATGAAGCACTCACTCGCCCTAAAGAAAGAACGATTGGGGAGGGGGAGAATATTTGGATCCAAGAGAGTAATTATTTCTGAGAGGGAGCAGCTACGAAAATCTCCGATTAAATCAAGTCGGTGGAATTTGTTAATAGATCCCGACTGCATCGCTATCATGAAATGACCGCAACTACTAATAACTTATTAGCGAAAAGTTATGGCCCAAGAAAGTTTGAAATTTTCTATAAAACGTTTGTTATCGTGTAAACCAGGTTTTATCCCGGTCCGGACCTGAACATTACGTGTGCCATCTGGTCCTTGCAGACCTCTGTGATGTCTCGTCTGTTGTTTTGATTGTCTGCGGTGAAGGCAAGTTGAAACATGCAGAGTGATGGTTGCGTCATACTTGTAGTTTGATATCAAAAAGCCATTGCCTCGTTAAGTTATCCCAAAGAAGTCCACACCATCTTAAAATGACGTTATGTGAATGTATGAATGGACGATCATTGGAACAGTTTTACGGAACAAACTTAAATGTGAAGATGCACTCAAGCATCTCAGTACACTTCCGCAATGTGTCACTAGTGGACAGACGCCCCACAAAATTCCCTTTCTACTAATGCTTACGGTATCCAACCAAATGTACCGGTAACAAATAAAATCGAGCTGTAAAACATCGAAGTAATTCAACGCAACATAACCTCTCACCAAGTTTGGATTCTTTTGAGAAATATCAAAATACTATAAGTTTAAATACAAGGTGAAAATATTTATTTTACTTTACTTTATAGACCTGTGTTTATAACTGAACTAACCAACATACGTGTTTGTGGGGTGGAACCCTTTTCCTACACCCTCAGTGTCATTTGCCCAAGATTGCCCTGTCATTTTTAGAACAATATAATGTATGAATTTTCATATTTTATTCTCTCCGCATTTGTACTATTCAAACAGAAAATAAATTAAGTTAAATCCCAAAACTGAAGCATGATATGTTGCAGGCATTGGATATGTACTGGCATGAGGACTGCCTTAAGTGTGGTTGTTGCGATTGTCGTCTTGGGGAAGTCGGCTCAACGCTGTATACCAAGGCAAACCTTATTCTCTGCAAGCGGGACTACCTCAGGTCAGTATACCCTTTCTTCACAAAATAAATAATAGAAAAACTCCACAAAGAAACATTTTGTCAAGCCATAAGACTATGCAGCGTCATAACACAGAATATTACAATCCACTTGAAGAAGACTGCCATCTTCATATTCACAACCATGAGAACCTGAAATCTCACTTAATTTAACTTTTTCACCGCTGTTAAAACCTCAGACATATGCTAATTACATTATTGGTACTTGTGGGTTATCAGGACATATCGCTTTAAAAATGGGTTAGGTTAGGTTAGGTTGGTTAGGTTAATGTGTGTGGATAAATGACATATACTTGAAAGCTATTATATTTTATTTGGATATGCAGGTCCAGATATTCGACTCTCCTGTTTTGTGTCCCAATAACCAACAAGTACCACATTATTTTACATATACAAGTAAGATTTCATTAGTTATGTGGCTTCGTGTGTTATTTACTGTATGTCGATATGATCGGCAGGTTGTTCGGAGCAACGGGTTATTGCGCAGCTTGCAGCAAAGTGATTCCAGCATTTGAAATGGTTATGAGAGCTAAAAGTAATGTCTACCATCTTGAGTGTTTTGCATGCCAGCAGTGTAACCACAGGTGAGTATTGTGTTATAATGGACATTCATATTTTCTGAGCTATTTTCAATATAAATATAATTTCTGACAGAAGAAAGTTATCAATTATTTAATAATTTTACAGTGTGTACTCCAAGGACTAGGGTCCTTTATAAGAAGCTAATAGTCGCTCAGATAATCATTAAATTTTCTGCCTTATATTTGTTTACAAGAACCTGCAATCCACACCTTTCAAACTCTATTTCTTTAATATTCATTTTAATATTATTTTCCCATGCATATGTTTGTCTTCTGAGTGGTCTGTTCCTTTCAGATTTTAATTTTTAAATATTTTATGTATTTTTTCTTCACTCCCATGCATGTTACATGCCATTCCAGTCTTATTCTCCTCATTATAATTATTTTAATAACATTTGATGAAGATCACAAATTATGAAGCTCCCCGTTATATAATTTTCTCCATCCTTCCATCACAGCGTCCCTTTTAAGCATAAAAATCTCCTTAGTGCTCTGTTCTCAGTCACTCTTGGAATGTGTTCAAATTTTGTATCCATAAAAACAATAAGTAAAATTAAATTTTTATATATCTTAATCTAATATATTAAAATATTCTGAACTGAACATTAATAAGCATTCCCGGAATTTAATCATCTCTTAATTTATCAGATACATTTTACTGTAAAATTATCATTTATTTGTATACATGTGTAATATATGTACAAGTAAAATATAAATTGGGTCAGACTGATTGATACTGAGGGATTCGGATTAATCTGACCTCTGGACCATTTGATTGCCCTTACATAAAATTGCACTAAAACAAAATTTTAAACCCTTTCATCGCTAACACGATGTGTTGTCACTGCTCGTCACGTGATCAAATAAACTTCAGGGTTTTGATAAAGACTCAGTGATGATTGTCAATTAATTTTTTACAGGTTCTGTGTGGGTGACCGGTTCTACCTTTGTGACAACAAGATCCTCTGTGAGTACGATTATGAGGAGCGACTAGTCTTTGCTAGCATGGCATACAATGCCAGCAGCCTCGCTCACATACGAAGGCAAGTCAGTAATTTGCAGGTATGCCCTAGACCTAAAACAGCATGAGCATTTACGCATACACACATGCAGGAAGCCACATTATTTTCGCTTGAAATGTTTAGATGACACAAACTCACGCAGTCAAAAGTTACCTAGACCACACACTTTATAATTTTTCAAGATCATAGCTATATTTACAGTTTCTGGGATTATTCATCTAGAGAATGTTCCACATTATGCCATATCATTACACCACACTAAAACCTGCGGTTAACTGATGATGTCGTAATTTATTTAATTACGCTCGTAACTGGTTACTGACATGTTGCAGAATCTAATAAGATACAGTGTTGCCCTTCGGTGGAAAGTAGGGAATAATTGGAAAGAAGCAATAATTTCATCTTTAAATTTACCGCTCCGATATTTTTAATTGTGGGAACTTAAAACTGTTGAAAAGTCTGGTGAGATAAGTGCATTCGGTGTGTTATAAATTCTTTCGAAAAAATACCGCTTGGTAGAAAACATTAAAATTTAGTTTAGAAAAAGAGGATTTGAAGGGGTGAGCTGAATCAAAGTGACCAAAGTTAGTTGGCTTTTTGAATACTGTACTTAACCATTGGATTTACTAAAATAAGAAATTTCTTAACAAGTTTAATTTGGAAAATATCAGTCAGGAAGACCCAAAATTTCACCCAGGTACTTATTAAATATAAATCATATCATTATGCCAACATATTAATTACTATTCAGCAAATGTGTCACGTCCAAGAATTAATTCCCTCTAACATCGTATTAATTGGCTGAATCTCCACTGTGTTGCCAGCTAATCACTGATAAATTTCTGAACCTTTATAACTTAAAATTTGATTTGATGCAAGAAGAACTGACGTGTCATTCTTGTTGCGAGTTGAACGTCCTAAGCTGGTTTGGCGTGATTCAGTGTGTTTTGTAAAACTCCACATTCATTTGAATTATTTCCCTAATGTCGTAACTATTACGTGTCGGGATGGGGAGAATTTAGCATCGTCATTTTATGCTGTCAAATTTTAATTTGAAACTTATTCTATATACATATATGTTCATGTCTCTGTCATAATACACTTTCACACGTAACTTAAGACACGGAGAAATATCATGTGAGTTTAACGAACAGTTTGCTGGTGCTATCGAAAAGGGTATAAGGCAAAAAATTAGAATCAAAATATGATTACTGCTTTCAGTCTTAAGTGTGTATCTAAAATATATACTCAAAATGAATATTTTTTGGAAAAAGAATCAACAAGTCTGGCTTTCAATAACTATCTGACTTTTTAAATTATCCTCCTCCTCCTCCTCCTCCTC